GCTAATACTACAGAGCCCACAGCACAGGGAGGCAGTCAGATCCTCAGGAGCGGGACCAGGAGCCTGCATGTAACTATTAACAGTAATCATTAACCCTGGCTTACTGATTAACCGTTTAAATGGTTATGCCACTACATCCCTAAGCTAACCCCACACTAGCTAGTGTCTGTATGATGACGCTAATAGCTGTAATACTGGGAACAGGCACTTCTAATCGGCATAGACATCACAATAAGATTGCATGTTCATATACTTTGGCTTATTGGAATGGCTCTCACATATGGAGTGTATTAAAACCTGGATTCACCATAAGCCAAGTAAGAAAATATTCAGCTTATTATGCCCCCAAAGACCAAGAAGTTTCTAGATTCCCAGACACCTGTGGACAGAGTCTGATTCCACCTGCACGAGTATAAGCCCAGGAAACCCCACGGAAGCCAATGGAGTTTTGTTGGATTCATGGTGGGGTAAGATTAGAATCTGGCTCCTACCCTTTAACACACGCAAGCAGCAAAAAGGAAATACCTCATTTCCCACAGACCAGTACACATAAGCTCAGACACACTAGGGCCAAGCATGTGCTGTCTGCTCTGCTCCCCGGTCAGAGCTCTGGCTAGCATTTGGGTTTCTTTGCCATGAGCGTTCATATCTGAAAAAGTCATCAGCCTGCCTGTTCCTTCACTTAGGAAAAAAAAAAAAAAAAAAAAAAGGTCACTTCAGGGCTTGTGGGGGTTTTAAACAGAGGAGCACTCTTGATTTTTGACATTGTGCCCCAAGATTATAAAAATGCTGTTCAAAACCCAGACCAGTTGTCACTGCTAATGAGACCTCTGTTAATTTATTTCTGTACCTGGCTATGCCTGCATACAGGGCTTTCTGAGACTGCTTTTCTCCCAGCTTATATGTGCTTATACTAATTTCTCCCACCAATGGTTAAAGTTTCCGGTAGCATGCTGAACCCTGCGCCTCTGACTTCGTGTGTATTTATTTCATTGATGTTGTTTCCAGGTGACATCATTCCTTTTTCATCATTTTTTACCTACAAGTTATTCTGCATTGGCGAATTTTGGAATTAAATTCATGACAGAAGAATCCAGTGACATTCTCCCATTTCCACAGTTCAGTTTATCTGTTTGACATCTTCCCACAGAGATCAGTTCATACAGTTGTCGCTGCTCTAACAAGGTGAAGGCAAAGTTATTTGGTTCCTACCAGATTTTCAATTCAAGGGAAAGTTTTGCAAGTCTTCAAGAGAAACATCTGGTTCCAGTGTCACATTGGTTCCTTCCTAAATACGACCACTGACTCTTCCTATTACAATGCTGAGAACCTGTTTATTCAGAGGTTGAACAAACAGGCACACTGCTAAAAGCCTTCAGAACGGCTGCCCTCACTCCCTAGTCCTTGTGATGAGACAGTAACAATGACTAACTGATGAGGAGAAATCATGCTAACTAGCTCTCTATGCACACAAACCACAGGAGGACTGAGTACAAGCAGGGAAACTTTCAGCCCAATGGGTCCCTTTTTTTCAAAGCTAGCTTTAGCACTCTGCTTCTGAAGAGAAAAAAAGCAACCAGAAAACAAAAATAATATTTTACTCAGTACATCCCATGTGATATTTTTAATTTTAAAACCACCGACAGATCTCTGGAGCATCAGCCTTTGCTGAACGAGGTTATTCTTTCATCTCCTATGAAATATGGTGCAGTTGCTGTCATTACCACTGGTTTTTCAACTGAAAAAAAAAAGCAGCCTGAGCTGAGAAGTACATCATGCAAATTTTTGAAGCTCTGTATGTCTTTTCCCCTTATTTTCCCTACTTACAGGTCAGCCTACAGAATAGAGAGAACTCAATAATGGTGTCCCAGTGGAGTCTGTACTGGGACCAATCCCCTATTCATAAATGATATGGAAAAGGAGGGAAATGGTGGGGTGGCAAAATTTGTATATGATACAAAGCTACTCAAAATAGGTCAGTCCAAAGCAGACTGCTAAGAGCTATAAAGGGCTCTCACAACACTGGGTGACTGAACAAGAAAATGGCAGATGAAATTCAATGTTGATAAATGCAAAGTAATGTACTTTAGAAAACATAATCCCAGTGATGCATAGAAAATGATGGCGTCTAAATTAGCTGTTACCACCCACGAGAAATATCTTGGAGTCAGTGTGGATATTTCTCTGAACACATCCACTCCATGGGAAGCAGCAGTCAAAAAAGCTAATAAAATGTTGGGATTCATTAAGATCAATAGAATCAATAATAAGATAGAAAATAAATTCATGGTACATCCACAGCCTGAAAACCACGTGCAGATGTAGTCACCCGTTCCAAAAAAAGATATGTTGGAAATGGACAAGGTTCAGAGAAGCGCAACAAATATGATAAGGAGTATGGAACTACTTTCTATAAAGAGAGATTAATAAAACTGGAAATTGTCAGCTTGGAAAAGAGACTGCTAAGGAAGTGATATTTCCTTCTCAGAACACAAGAACTAGGGGTCATCCCATTAAATTAATAGGCAGCAGGTTTAAAACAAAGAATCATAGAATCATAGGACTGGAAGGGACCTCAAGAGGTCATCGAGTCCAGCCCCCCGCCCTCAAGGCAGGACCAAGCTCCATCTACACCATCCCTGACAGATGTCTATCTAACCTGTTCTTAAATATCTCCAGAGAGGGAGATTCCACCACCTCTCTTGGCAATTTATTCCAATATTTGACCACCCTGACAGTTAGGAATTTTTTCCTAATGTCCAATCTAAACCTCCCCTGCTGCACTTTAAGCCCATTACTCCTTGTCCTGTCCTCAGAAACCAAGAGGAACAAATTTTCGCCTTCCTCCTTGTGACACCCTTTTAGATATTTGAAAACCGCTATCATGTCCCCCCTTAATCTTCTTTTTTCCAAACTAAACAAGCCCAGTTCATGAAGCCTGGCTTCATAGGGCATGTTCTCTAGACCTTTAATCATTCTTGTCGCTCTTCTCTGTACCCTTTCCAATTGCTCCACATCTTTCTTGAATTGTGGCGCCCAGAACTGGACACAGTCCTCCAGCTGAGGCCTAACTAGTGCAGAGTAGAGCGGCAGAATGACTTCATGAGTTTTGCTTACAACACACCTGTTGATACAACCTAGAATCATATTTGCTTTTTTTGCAACAGCATCACACTGTTGACTCATATTCAACTTGTGGTCCACTATGACCCCTAGATCCCTTTCCGCCATGCTCCTTCCTAGACAGTCGCTTCCCATCTTGTATGTATGGAACTGATTGTTCCTTCCTAAGTGGAGCACTTTGCATTTCTCTTTATTAAACCTCATCCTGTTTACCTCTGACCATTTCTCTAACTTGCTACGGTCATTTTGAATTATGTCCCTATCCTCCAAAGAAGTCGCAACCCCACCCAGTTTGGTATCATCTGCAAACTTAATAAGCATACTCTCTATCCCAATATCTACATCATTGATGAAGAGATTGAACAGTACGGGTCCCAAAACAGACCCTTGAGGAACTCCACTTGTTATCCTCTCCTCAGTTGTTTTTCCCTTCAGTCTTGCTTCCCATGGGACCTTACCTACAAGTTCTCTGAGCTTATCAAAATCTGCCTTCCTGAAATCCATTACCTCAATTGTGCTGGTCTCCCTTCTACCTTTCCTTAAGATCATGAACTCTATTATTTAAAGGAAATATTTCTTCACAACTGTGGAGTTCCCTGCCAGAGGATGTTGTGAAGGCCAAGACTATAAAAGAGTTAAAAAAGAGCTAGAAAAATTCATGGAGGACAGTCTCAGTTAGTCTATAACTTTAAAAAAACAAACAAATGAGTAGTCCTGTGGCACCTTAGAGACTAACAAATATATATAGGGTTTTCATGAGCAAAACCCACCTGTTCAAAGAGGTTAGGTCCATCAATAGCTATTAGTTAGGATGGGTAGGGATGGTGTTCCTGGCCTCTGTTTGCCAGGCTGGGAATGGGCGACAGGGGAGGGATCACTGGATGATTCCCTGTTCTGTTCACTCCCTACGGGGCACCTGGCATTGGCCAATGTCTAAAGTCACAATATGGGCTAGATGGTCTGACCCAGTATGGCCATTCTTATGTTCTCACGAAAACCAAGAAAAAGCGACTTGCCAAGTCTCTGTAGAAAGAGCATTTATGGAGAGGAATGTGTTCAAATTGCTAGCACCACCGTTCAAGTTAATGTAATTACCTGATTGACAATTTGTATGTGTTTTGATCATGTAATTGGGTTGCAAAACCTTAGCTGTGTGGTTTTAATGGCCATGTCTGATTGTTATGGAAAATGTTTTGAAATAGTGAGGGAAAGCTCTGAAAGACTCATCCGGTGAGCAAAGGCCTTACTTTTGATGTTCCGTGTATGCTGAAATCATTCGCTCATGGCAGTGAGATAAAATTGCACCGTAAATACTACCCAGGCAGGTTGCCTATCATAACCAGAATGGAAACCATCTGGCTTCTTCCTCATGCATTCATCATGAGGGAGACAGTCAGCTCTGAAGTAGATGGGTGAACATACAGATTCTGATGCTATGGGAGACACCATACTACAAGGAAGCAGGGACAATATCATCTGAGCAGATACCATGAAAGAGTCCTGGACTAGAAAAAAATCCATGGGTTCCATGTCACATACGAGAACCTTTCATGCAACACTGTTTGCCATCAAACAATTTCTCCAGCATTTTTCTGGGTTCCTTTGATTTACCTTTTCACAGATAAAGATTAACAGGCTCATTTCTACACCGAATGGCGATCAGTTTCCGAAAGGAGCCCTGTTATCAAAGCACAGTGGTCGGTAGCAGGGCCCTAGAATGGTTTCCTTTAGGTACCAAAGTTTAGATTTCTGTGTTACCCAGAGGAGCTGCTGTGAAGAGAAGAGATTCTATGGAACACGAGACAGACTCACTCATCTCCATCCCATAAACAATGCAGGTGATGACATCATTAATCAACAACATTCCCATTCTCTGAGGGTCACTCAAGGCCTGTGCAGAGGCAGGAGAGGAGAAGATTTGAACAGCATGGCAGAGCCTTTAAGGATTATGTCAAGTGGTAAGTCGTTTATTAGTCTCCTGAGCTGCCAGAAAACGTCAGGTCTGGAGGAGCAGAAAGTGCCGTGTTCAGTGTCTCCTGACTCACCGGGGGCCAGGGCATGAGCAGAACCACGCAGGGCAGCTCACAGAGGGGGCTCTCAGGGACAGGCAGCCTAGGCTTGGACAGCGCCTTCCCCTCCTCTGGAGAAACTGAACTGACTCCCTGCACAGGGACGTGTCAGCTCTGGAGGTGCAAGGCAGCAACAGCTGGATTTGCACTTTCCCACAGCGACCGACCAACATTTGCAAGGCTTCTTCCCAGCTTTTCCTTCTTCCCTACTGAACTGCAGCCCGAGTAGTCCTCTCCTCTCCTGGGTGATGGCCACAGATGTGTCTGCCTTCGCTGACAATGCTGGTAAAGGCTGGGGCCTCATCCAAGCTGTGCTATACACCCTAGGGCTGCGCTAGAAAGCAGCACCCCCTCTCCTCAGATATCCCTCTTCTCTGCCAACACTCCCCTCTTCTTTTCTTATACTGCTCTCTTGTGAACAGGGGAGCTTTCAAGACAGAGGACGGTCCCTTCCTGCTACTCAGTCCAAACAGATATGCCAAGAGCTTCCCCAGGCGCAGACTCTGTGTGGTGTCCAGCTGCGTGTGACACAGTCATTGCAAGGTGAGCACAAGGCTGCACTTGCAATGCACCATATCGGATACTCCAGTATGCTAAGCTGGCCCCTGGGAGATCTGAGCAAAGCTGCAGGAAAGGTTGCATGGCCGCCTGCACAAGGCTCACAGTGCTCTGATCAGCAGTTGTGTTGAATTTTCCTGGGTGAGCCAAAGCATCTGCAATTAAATTCCACCTTCATTTGAGGGTCAGTCATTGTTGGTTCAATGGTCACTTTAGGTGATATTGTGCCCCTTGGCAGCACCCTCCTAGACAGTTACAGGTCAAAGAAGGCTGGGTAAGAAGGGACACTTCATTTCCATGTGGGAGAGATTCTACAGTGTCTCTTTCCCCCAGCTGTTCCTTGTCTTGATGAGAGAGTTTGTACAAGCACATAGGGAAGCCAGACCCACAAAGGCAGAAATAAGCCAGGAATCTAGAACAGCCTTTCCAAATGTTGTCAAAACACAGTGCTTTTGCTGAATTCACTGTCAGACTTTGCTGCTGGAAGATGCAGTGAAATCCGAGATTACAGACAACTAAACTCTTCTAGAGACATTCCAAGATTGACAGTGAGAGAGTTTGTACAAGCACATAGGGAAGCCAGACCCACAAAGGCAGAAATAAGCCAGGAATCTAGAACAGCCTTTCCAAATGTTGTCAAAACACAGTGCTTTTGCTGAATTCACTGTCAGACTTTGCTGCTGGAAGATGCAGTGAAATCCGAGATTACAGACAACTAAACTCTTCTAGAGACATTCCAAGATTGACAGTGTCCTGGAAAATGCACTTCAAGGAGCAATCTTGCAATGGCTGTGGCCATTTCTGACCCGGCATTACCCAATGCTGGGGATGGATTGGACAGGGAACTATTTTTGAAACAAACAACAAAACCACGACTCACTTTTCAGCTTTCCCACAGAAAGCTCTTTGTCATCCTGTGCCCATTCACCTATGCAAAGATGAGATGACATCTCTGGCTAAAGGCCGGCAGTCTGCACCTCTTTGTCACTTTTAACAAGAAAATAATCGTGCGGAAACATTTGAAAAACAAATCTGTGTTGACACTCCTCATCTGCTAGGTATATTCTGTGAAAGGAAGAAGTACTGCATTAGTGCTTGGCCTTCTCACCTTTACAGCATTGGAGGAAAAATAAAGAGAGAGATCCCAAAAAGCTGATGCAAGAATAATGAGACCAGGTGGCATTTGGAATGAACAGCAAGGTTGCTCTTCACAAAGGCTCCCAACAAGACACTCAGAGGCCATAACTTCCAGAGGGAGACTGTGAGCAAAGCAAACTGTTGGCAGGGGAGGCTGTGCACACCTGACAGACAGCAGAGCTGTCTAGCGCATTACTATACTATAAAAAAATGAGATCAGGGATAGCGCCTAGAAAGGCCAGAACCATCTAGTGCCGACAGCCTATCTGCAGCCATTGGTTTGGTCTCAGTCTGCAGACCCAAGGAGTCACCAGGACAGTTTGGGATGACTTGCCATGAATGTCTCCTAGTCACTGATGGCGTGGAGCTCTGGAACACTAACATGTTCTAGGCCACGAGCAGAGCAGAGACAGGAAGAAGAGAGGTGTGAAGGAAAACACGAGCTGCTGCACCATGCATCAGAGATTCCAAAGGGCGACCTGGCTCACCGTGTGCAGGAGTTTGCACTGAAGGGGCAGATGCAGATAAGCCACATCATCTCTGGCCCAAACAACCCCAACCTGCCACATCCCCCTCCTGAGGAAGGGGGCACCCTCAAGCTGAGATTCAAGTCTCTCCCTTCTGGAGCATAGTATTGTTCAGGGCACTTCGAGAACCTATTTCAAACCTGTAAGGTCCTGAGCAAGAGGCTGCTCCATGCTGCAGGCTGCATGCACAGAAGTGCTTTTAGTGACTGGTTTGGTGCCTTATGGAGGAGGACCCCCAGTCTTAGACTGTAAGTAGCCCTGGTTGTAAGCAATTCACCCTGATATGAGCTCTCGGTGATGTCCCCAGAATCTGTAATATTACAGGGGGAGCCAAGATTTGGGGGAAAGAAGACTCTGTCCCCCCCACCCACAGCCCCACACCTGCCCCCCCCCCCCCCCCCCCATTAGCAGCTGCTGCTTTCAGTCCAGGCATGCTGGGAACAACCCTGCTCTGTTCTCATCCTCCAGGCACATAGCATCAGCAGATGTACACTGTGCTTCATCTGCTAAACACTCAGCGACCTTCACAAGCTGAGAGTCCCTTCACGAGACCATAGTGTAAAGTAATGCACATCGGGAAAAATAACCCCAACTATACGTACAGTATGATGGGGGCTAATTTGGCTACGACAAATCAGGAAAGAGATCTTGGAGTTATCGTGGACAGTTCTCTGAGAACTTCCACGCAGCGTGCGGCGGCGGTCAAAAAGGCAAATAGGATGCTAGGAATTATTAGGAAAGGGATAGAAAATAAGACCCAGAATATCTTACTGCCCCTGTATAAAACTATGGTACGCCCACATCTTGAATACTGTGTACAGATGTGGTCTCCTCACCTCAAAAGAAGATATTTTGGCCTTGGAAAGGGTTCAGAAAAGGGCAACTAAAATGATTAGGGGTTTGGAACAGGTC